CAAGAAGAAAAAATAAAACTACTTAAAGACAAAACGCCCTAATATAGTAAAATGACAGGAATTTTTATTAACGGTAATAGTAAACAGAGAATAACGAATGACGAATTTGATATGATGGTTGAACTGATGAAAGCAGAAAACGACTTAGTCTTACAGATGATAAGCGAACAGAACCAGACTTCGAGCGAGGACAGTGAGCAACCCGTGAGGTGGAGGGACGACCAGAAGAACTACCACCAGAATTACTACAACAAAACCTAAAACAGTCTTACACTTGCGAGGACTGCGGAAGGACGATATCAAGCAAATCAAATTTATCTAAACACAAGAAATCTAAAATTTGTTCGCAAGCTTCGCGACAATGCACATTATGAAAAAATAATAATCATTCATCTTATTAAAAACACTTAATGAGATTAATGCGTTCATTCTCAACCCGAAACCCATTTTCTCCAACAGTCAACCCCAGCCCGAAAAACTACTTAAAGAGAAAATACCTTATATTATATAGAGTATAGTATTATGGTTACCATGACAGAAGGAAAAATCATAGATTTCATTTTAAACAGCCAACAAGGCGAACTAATACAAAAAGAAGGGAGGCAAACACAAAAACTCAAAATAGGCGATAAGACCTACAGATATGATAAGAACAAACCAGTTTCAAACGTATTGAACACGAAACTCAAGGAAGTGGCGAGGAGTGACGGATATAGAAAGCATGGCCTTTTAATGAAAGGTGCTAATTATCTAAAACTAACGAGAGGCAGACCCTTACAGGATTATGTCAAGCGTTTCAAGTCCAAAATCACAGACGAGCAACAAGCGTTCAAGGGATACGCCAACACCTACTCGGTAAGTGATATAAGATTAAAGGGGATGAAAGGTTTATCCTACTTAAAATACCAGAAGCAACGACTGGCCGAATTCCTGAACAGAAGCCCGAACATGAAAATAATCGTGGAAACCGATTTATCATTCAAAAATCCCGACAACGAACTTATCCAAAGGAGATTAAGAAGCAGAAGATACAATATTCATAATCCCGATGAGTTGAACAACGTCTTAAACAACATTGGACATGACATTGAGACACAAATTGAAGTAGTCGAAGACGTTCAGTCGAGTTTGGTTCTTGTCCAAGTTGAAAAGTTAGTCATCAGTTATGATAGGTACAATCCTACCCGTGGTTCATCCTTTATTCCATTGCCCGACTGGGTGGCAAACAAAAAGGCTTGTATTAATATTAAAAAATGACTTATGTTTTAAATATTCCGTTCAATGCGGATTTTATGAGTTATACAAAAAAGACCATCCCTGCGACATGTATCATTATAAGAAATATGTAGATGACAAATTTATCAAATGGGATAATATTGACTTTCCAGTAGGTAATGATGAGATTGAACTATTTGAAGAACAGAACAAACACATATCGGTCAATGTTTATTACATAAACCCCGATACAAATAGTAAAACTAATTTATTATACAAAAGAAGCAACAACCCACAAGCACAACACAAAATCGATTTGATTAAATTGACTGATGATGTTAAATCGCATTACGCTTATATCAAAAATTACGATAAGTTAATGAGTAGTCAGACTAACAAAAAGAAAGTTAAAAAGTATCATTGTAGAACCTGCTCTCATGGTTTTCAATCAGAAGAACTTTTAAAGAAACACGAAGAACAGGGATGTCTAGCAGTTGAGGGTCAAAAAATAGAAATGCCAAAAGCAGGTGAAACAATAGCATTCAAAAACCATTTCAAGAAACTTAAAGCTCCATTCGTAATCTATGCCGACTTTGAATGTTTAACTGTGCCAATTGATGTTAAAAGCAAATCGACAAAAGCTAAAACTACATCATATCAAAATCATCGTCCGTGTGGTTTTATGATTAATGTAGTCAATGCTATAACCGGAAGTAGTGAGCCTTACTTATACAGAGGTGAAGATTGTATGGATAAGTTTGTTGAAAAAATCAATGAAGTCAGAGAAGATATTATTAGTAGGATGAAGGAAGTAAAAGAGATAATCATGACTGAAAAGGACAAGGAAGATTTTGAAAATGCTACTACTTGCTTTATCTGTGGAAATGATTTTAAACCTGAGGACAAGAAGGTTCGAGACCATTGTCACTTTACTGGAGCTTACAGAGGATGCGCCCACGATGATTGTAATCTTGGTTTTAGTATGAGATATTATAAAATCCCTGTGTTTCTTCATAACCTTAAAAACTATGATGCCCACTTAATCATCAACAAGGCTCACGAACTGAACAAGAATTCTAAAATAGAATGTATCGCTCAGAACAGCGAAAAGTTTATAACCTTTGGTTTTAAAAATCTTTGTTTCAAGGACAGTTTCAGTTTCTTATCGTCTTCGTTGGATAAGTTGGTGAAGTTGAGTAAATATGAGGATGATAAAAAGCGTGAGAATTGGAAGAACAATTTCAGATACAGCGTTAGAAACCCGTATGTTAAAACCGATGAAGATTTGGATTTATTGACTGATAAGGGTATTTATCCCTATGACTACTTTGATGATTTTGAAAGATTTAAGGAAAGGGCTTTACCACCGAAAGAAGCGTTTTACAGTAAATTGAGTGAAGAACATGTAAGTGATAAAGATTATGAAAGGGCACTGAAAGTATGGAAGCACTTCGGGATTAGAACACTCGGGCAGTATCACGACTTGTATTTAAGAACTGATGTTTTACTACTGACCGATGTATTTGAAAACTTTAGAGACTTGTGTATGGAATACTACGGTTTAGACCCCGCTCATTATTACACATTGCCAAATTTCGCATGGGACGCGATGCTTCTAAAAACTGGTGTTGAAATAGAACAATTGCATGACCAAGAAATGTTTGAGATGGTTGAAAAGGGAATGAGAGGTGGTATGTGTCAAGTCAGTCATAAATTAGCAGTGGCAAATAATAAGTATATGGGGGAAGCATATGATGAGAACAAGCCATCAAATTATATTAGTTACTTGGATGCTAATAACTTGTATGGTTTAGCAATGTCCCAGAAGTTACCGCTAAAAAATATCAAGTGGGCAAAGAAAACTCCCATTGTTGAAAATGGAATGAAAACGATGAGTTCGGTTATATTATGGAAGTTGATTTGGAATATCCCGAAACATTGCACGATTTCCACTCTGACTATCCACTAGCGCCTGAAATAATGAATGTAAATGTGAATATGCTTTCCGACTATCAAAAGCAAGTCTATAAAATATATTATGACGGTAAAAGTCCCAAGGACGAGAAAACAAGTAAGTTAATATTAAATCTAAAGGATAAAGAAAAATATGTGGTTCATATCAAGACTTTACAGTATTATTTGAAAATGGGAATGAAAATGGGTAAAGTCCATAGGATAATAAAGTTTCAACAGAGGGCTTGGTTGAAACCGTGGATTGACTTCAACACTGGTAAAAGGAAAGAAGCCAAAAGCGATTTTGAGAAAGATTTATTCAAATTAATGAATAACGCGGTGTACGGAAAAACTATGGAAGACAAGCGAAACCATATGGACTTTGAACTGGTTGATAATGAGGTAAGATATGAAAAATGCGTGAATAACCCAACATTCAAAAACCGATTTATTATAAATGAAAATCTGGTGGGAGTTGAAAAAACTAAAGCGAAACTGAAATTGGATAAGCCGATTTTCCTGGGAATGAGCATTTTAGATTTAAGCAAATTACATATGTATCAGTTTTATTATGATGTATTGAAAAAGAAGTATAATGAAAACATCAAATTGATATATACTGATACTGACAGTTATGTAAGTCAAACAATGACTGATGATGTCAATCAGGATTTCAATCATATAAAGCAACACATGGATTTTAGCGACTATCCTGTTGAGCATCCATGTCATGACAAAACTAATAAAAAGGTCTTAGGAATGTTTAAGGACGAGGTGAATGGAAAAATCATTACTAAATTCATCGGATTAAAACCTAAATCTTACGCCTTCACAATTCACGGTGAGGTTGATGAACATAAGAAATCAAAAGGTGTAGTGAAACACAAAGTGAAAAGAGAACTGTCGTATCAGAACTACCACGAAGCATTATATCAAAACAAAAAGCACGAAATCACATCTAATTTTATTAGGAGTAAGTCACATCAAATATATTCAATGTCTCAAGTAAAGCAATCTCTCAGTAATTATGAAAATAAAAGGTTTTATATTGATGCTTTCACTTCATTGCCTTATGGACATTACGCTATTACAAAGTAATAGCTTAATGAGCTTCGCGACATTACTCCATAAAATAGTTATCTAAATAGTTCTAATAATATGAAATTATCAGAATTATTTTCAGGGACAGGCTCGGTTGGTCGGGTTGCTCGGGATTTGGGTTTTAGTGTTATTTCCCTTGATTTGAAAAATGCAAATATCAATACTGATATTTTGAGTTGGGATTATCGTGATTTTGATGTGGGCGAGTTTGATGTTGTGTGGGCATCTCCTCCTTGCATCGAATACAGCCGAGCGAAGACGACGGACGTCCGAAAGATTGAGTATGCTAACAGCATCGTTTTGAAAACCCTTGAAATCATTGACTACTTCAAACCGAAGTGGTGGGTTGTGGAAAATCCTCAAACTGGTCTTTTGAAGGAACAACCATTCATGAGTGGGTTGAAATACTATGATGTGGATTATTGCAAATATGGCATGAACTACAGGAAGCGAACGAGGTTGTGGTCAAACATTGAAACATGGAAACCTAGACCATTATGTAATAGGGATTGTGGGAAGGTTAGGAATGGGAAACATTTAGAAACTGCTCAACGGTTGCCTTGTGGTAAGAAGGATAGTTGGGGTGAGGGATACATCAAACATAAACAAGATGAGTTGTATAAAATTCCTACTGATTTGATTAGTGATATATTTGTTAGATTGTTTTAGGGTTAAACCTCAAAAGGGTCAGTGAAAGGGGTACAGGACGAAAACCCTCTCCAGCCCAGCGCCTAGAAGTCGTCAGCATGGTAGGCAGGCTTCTCGGTGACTTCACAACCTCGGAGCGTCATACCAAAACAAAAAAAAACACCCTTTGCCAGCATGCTATTGACTTGAAGTAGTCGCATCCAGACAAACGAGCTTTTTTTTCCTGACGGAAGCGTGATGTGTGATTGACAAGCAAGTCCGCTTCTGTTCAAGAACTCACTCAAGGATTTAACCATGGAACCTCTACATTGTTCATTTTTTTCTGAGTCTAGCATCAAGTGCCTTCAGTGAGTGGGACAATGCGAAGTAGAACCTCCAGTTCTCAAGTCAATCCAATCAGTGGCTCACTTGGTTCCTCTCAGTGGCTCACTCGGTTCCTGTCAGGGATGTTCTTCATCGAAACCCATTTCCCCGATTTAACTATAGTGAATTCCTTGAAAGTTGTCACTCATTTCCCCAGACACTTGTTTATCAACAAAAATATGTGTTCTTTTTTCCCTCTGTGTCATTTCCCCCTTCCCTGTGTTTGATTTCACTGACAACGGGGTTTCAAGGAATACAACAAAATACAAACATTTCCCAAAGTTATGGGTTAGATTTCCCCATTCCCCAAAAGTCATTTCCCTGACTGTGGGGTTTCTTTTCCCTGTGAAAACCAACACTTTTGAAACTCTGTCCTGTGGCGGTCTGGGCAGCTTCAATCTGCTTCTTCTCAATGATTTTGTCAAGTGTCATGCGGAAGCCCTCCCACGACATACGGGAAGCGTCGGTCAAGTAACTCTTGTAGAGGGCGTAGGCGGTCGTCGTCTTTGCTGTGTCCGTCATCAAGTCATTCAAGGCGCTCATCTGGCTGATGCGTGTGAAGAACTGGTCAAGGCAAATCTTGGCGATGAAGTCAAAGCGAGAGGTCTCGTTGTTGGTTGTGAAGATGTAGGCTTGGATGCGTTTGCACTTCTCGGCGGGAAGGCTGTCCAACACATCGTCAATGCCGTTGCCTTGCGAAAGCATGTTGGAAAGCTGCTCCAAAAACTGCTTGTTGAAGGTCATGTCGGGGATGCCAAGGTTCAAGACGTGGCTCACGGACATCTGCATCTCCAACTGCTTTGCGTTGATTTTCTCCTCCTTGCTGATGGTTGTCGTAGAACGTCCTCGCTTTCCACCACCTCGGCCGACCACCGAAGTCTGGACAATGCTGTCATTGGTCATCTTCCACCCTGTGCCACCAGTCTTGCCCGAACCAATCTCCCTGCGAGCGTGCAAGCCCATGTCCTCTCCATTCATCAAGTAGCGGAGCTTCTTCAAGCGCTTGATGGTAAAGCCGTAGTTGACTTTGAGAGCGTCCCGAATGTCCTTGACTGTGGACGTTGCATTGAGAGTCAGGGCGTAGGACTTGCCATCAATCACCACGTGAATGGTTAGAGTTGGCACCACCTGCTCCGTCTTGTTCTGCTTTTCCTGCTCCTCCCTCTGCTTCCGCAACTCCTTCTTGCGAGCATTGACCGCCTTGGTGAGAATCTTTTTCAAAGCCACCTTCTGCTTCCAGTAGTAGGTGGAGCGAGCCAAAGCATCGTCGTGCAACTTGTTCAACTCGTCAATGGAAGTGGCCTCCTCAATCATCTTGTCAAAGTTGGGGTCAAAGAACTCGGCAGGAATCGGAGCAGGGTCAGACGAAGAAGCGGCCGCAGACGTCAGTGTTGGAGTGGCACAGGAAGGGTCGTCCTTGTCGTCATGGTCCTTGTCCTGAGTGTCTTCTTGACCGTCATTGCTCTTCTTGTCTTCCTCCGACTCTGTCTCATCAGATGTCTCACTGGTGGGAGCGTCGCTCTCGTGAGCATCTGATTCAACTTCTGGCAAAGGAGCGGTCTCTGGGTATCCCGAAGCAGGCTGAGCGTCAGATTGATGAGGCTCAACGGTTGGCTCAGAAGCCAACTTGCTCATCTTAGGCGCCATTGACACCGCGAGATACAGGGATGGGTCTGTGTGCTTGGAAGCAAAAAAAGCTATGTAGATTGGTGGTTCAGTCAAGTGTCAAACACGCTCATCACAACATGTCTCAAAACGACGCTGTCAAACTGTGGCTCCCGGCTTAACAAAGAAGTCGTCAAAGCCCACGAAGCAGGCGGTGCAGACGACCAAATTAATGGGAACAAAAGACCAACAAAACAAATACACCACCAACACCCCAGAACTTGATAACTACTAAAAGGGTTAACTCTTTCAAATGAAAAAAATGTCGGCCCCCAGCCCAACAATGAACAAGGCGACAATTTACCCAAATGATTACCTTAACGAATACGATAAATAAGCTCCCTAAAAACCCTCTTTTCAAAACGAATAAGGGGGAACACAGATTTGAGATGAACATAAAAACCAGAACAGGCAACCCTCAACAGGCTTCCCCTCAGGGCCCCCCTTTTCTCCAGTTTTTTCCCCCCCCCCCCCCGGATGACGGGGAGGGAAGGGTCCAGAGAAAACTTCTAATGTTGATGCTTGATATGTTTCATCCACCCCAAAGCAATCCTCAAGATCCTTATTCCATTTGTGGACACACGGCTGGTTTGCATCCCCCGGCAGAGTCCTGCGTGGGATCTCGCCCTGATCTCGAGCTACTTTGATCCGGTTCCGGCGGATGTTGGTGCTTTGGAGTGATTTGAGCTTTGGTTCCTGAGGGAAACTGGGAAGCTCCCCCTTCGACTCCAATCCAAATCGCAAATTGGGGGGGAAGCTCTAAACCTTTGCCGTGGCCAAGAAGCGCTCCGGGACCTTGCAGGTGAAGCAGGTCCGGGAGCAGATCAAGTTTGCTCTCTTCCGGCAGGTGTGCCTTGGGGAGGAGTTGTTCAAGCATCTCACTTTGAATATAGACTTGAGCATATTTTTCAGCAGATTGTGGGAAACGACATCAACTTGTTGGTTGCCAACCCAATTCGCATCGTCTTGCTTCCATTTCAGGGGGACGTGCTTTACTTGCTTCTGGTCGCGCAAGCGTTCCTGCCCTACGAAGGGTTCCCCATGCCGTCGCTTGCCCAGAAACATTGGAAATGGACACCGTTCGTCAGGAGTCCTCTCGCCCTTGTTTGATTCCCATGCGGGTTTATTTGGCTGCGGCTCAAAAACATGTACCAAATGGCACCCTTGGCAGATGGAACCAAGACTAAAACCTGCGTTACCCTAGCTCTTTAATTTTGAGCCACACCCATTTCTAAATTGGGCACCCCTCAAAATGGGTGGTGTTCTCTGTTGGTTTCCATGTTGCACCACCCCCAAAAAGGGTAAAAAAGGACACGCTCCTCTGGCACCGGAATATGAGGCTCGTTCTAAGGGAAATCGAAAGTTGGAAGCTTCCATTGGTTGCTCTACCCTTCCAGCAAGTCATATCTTGCAGAGTTGCAGAACCCTGTCGAAGAGGATTCCTGTCTTCCGATGGCAGCTCCGAGCTGCCCCTTCTTGGTCATCAACACATTTTGTTTTGGACATTTGGTTTGGCTTCCTTGCGCGCAACAATAGAGAGAGAGAGAGAAGAGGAAGCGAGTTTTCTTTTCGGTTGCCCCAGGGTGGGCCAGTTACCCATTTCAGGAATCAAGCCTCCCCTGGGTATTGGGGCAGGGAAGAAAGGAACTGTTTGAGTTCGCACAATCAGCTGCTCGTTTTCCCTTGAATACTCACAGTTGCCCTTGCTAAGATCATTCAGTGGCGGTGGTTCTCCAAACCCGTCATGAAGGAACACACCCCCAACTCAGGTCGGGTGAACCACAGAATGTCTATGCAGATCGCAGGGTTTTTTGGCCCATGGCGCTCTGATTCGGTCTCGCCGCTGGCTCGAACCAGCTCAAAGAGCTTCTTGCCCGAAGGGCCCCTTTTCCATCAGGGCAACAACGCCCGTCGGCCTGGCACTTGGGAGAGAAATAACAGATCTGCGGAAGACCCAACATCAACATCGCAGGGAAAAGCCGAGGTTTAGGGGTTTTGGGGGGTTTGGGTTGGCGAAAATTGCTTTCCTTCGCTGGCCGTAGCGCCTGTACATGTTGACCATGCCGAGCCCGCACGGTCCTCTTGGGATGGAACCGGAGACCGTGGAGAAAGAAGGCGCCTCGGGCCGTGCGGGGGGGCCTTGGGGGACCAAAGTTGCCTCAAAATGGATCACCAAGGCCACCTGGAGGAACACCAGCGGCTTTTTTGACTAGGTCCCCCACTATTGCCCTTTCTCATTTTTTGGCGGAGGGTTCCCCCTTCTAAAATAGACTACCATAACAAGGGTACCCTTATTCTAGCCTCTCTATTGGAGGACCTAGTTGAGCAACAGCCAACACTAAGCGAGATTTCCGTTTATGTTGCAGCTGGATGATTCAGCACTGGCGGACAAAAGGGCCAAGCAAACTTTGACTGGTGAAACGCCTTTCGGTTCATTTCAAAATTGCGAGTTCCGGAGATCTGTGGATCTCCCAAAATCGATCATTTCTCGATTGCTATTGGGTTGGATCTTTCGACTTTAACTTTTCGGGATAAAAATACGGGTTGTCCATTGAACCCACAAAAAGTATTCTTTTTGTGCAGGTCGGCAGCGTCCAAGAAATTTGAACATCCTGTGTTTCTGTTTGTTTGTTTGTTTGTTTGTTTGTTTGTTTGTTTGTTTGTTTGTTTGTTTAGAAATAAACTGGATGTTTTTGGGCTTAGAACCGACTGCCTCGGGTGTTTTATAGCCAGCTAAGCCGTGGGGGGGGGGCAAGAGCTTTGAGATTCCGGAGCAAATCGTGTGGCGCGCGCAAGGGTCGCTTTGCTTTTTGGGCGGACGCAACTTCTTCTTTCTTGGTGAGCCACACCACTTAATTTTGGTTTTGTTCTTCCCGTTTCTTTTTTTTGGTGTGTGTGTGTGTGTACCCGCCCCACATTTTTTTGGGGGGGGGGTTTGCTTGTTTGAAGAGGGAATGAGTGCTCATGGCGCGAAAGCCCAGCTCGCCTCCAAACAGGCAGCTTGTTGTCTACCCTCCCCTCCAGCGATCCAGTAGTGACGTGGTGACGTCAGCTGTTTCTGCGCTCTGGCCGGTGTATGCAGCTCTTGAGCCGCTTGCGTTGCGCACTTTGTGAGAAGCCAGCTTCTCTGGTGTTGCCGCTTGAGCTGCAGAGGTGGAGCCGCAAGAGCTGCGGCAAGCCGTTCGGGGGTTTTGCCTTGAGCTGCCTTAGGACATGTCCAAAGCTCAGCATTTTTTTCCCCGCAACTCTCCAAAATCCAAGAGGCACACAAACAAGCCATGAGAATCTTCTGCCAGGGAACAAAATCAGAAGCAAACGGAAACAAGCGATACCCTCCCATCCACTTGCGTGGAACCTGACTGAAGGGACCCTTTGGGTTCCACGGGTTCAGAGTTTTGCAACGGCCAGGACTGGCCAGCACGACTACAACGGTCGAGCCTCCTATTCAACTGCCCAGTGCGGAGCACACTCCGCTGCTTGGCCAAGCCGGCAGATCGATCCGCCTTATGGCTGCCGGGCCACACGCGCGGCAAACCTCGGGGTGGTCAACGCCTTATGGCTGTTGGGCCCCTGACTACGCTATTCTTGTGCAGCCTTTTCAGGATGTCCAGAAGTCCAGAGGGCGCCGTTTTTGCTTCTCCTGATTTGCTGGGATTCCGTGCAAAAGGAGCGAGTGGGGGAGGGGGGTTGTTTTCTTTTCAACGGACTGCGAGAGCAGCTTTGACTTGATGTTTTCTCGGGGATGACTCCAACCCAAGCCTTTCACCTTGGGTTTTCCCCCTTGTGTTGCTCGGTCTCTGGCATGGGTTCCGATTGCCAACCTAGAAGTTCGGACATTTTCAACCATGTCCACTGAGGCGGACGGAATACTTGGACCACAGCTGCAAGTTTGGACCGCGGGCAATACGTATTGCCAGTGAAATAGCATCTTCGCTGGCCAACACATGCTTGTTTCTTGTCTCCTAGGAAGTATTTGAGCACTGCTTTCCCACTTGACGGTTGTTCGATCCGGATTTCATTCGCCCCGCATGGTTTTGCTTAGGCAAGGGATTAGTTTGCCGACTGACACCCTTTCAACGCACTGCAGCTCCAGACATCCCCATTGCCTTTTTAGGCTTTTAGGGTTTAGTGGTAGTGTCCATTTAGCCAACTAGGCAGCCCAGTATTGTGGATGATCAACATTTGCATTTGCTGTGCCAGCATTTAAGGATGCAATTTCGAATGTGCCACTTTTTGTCGAGACATCCAGGGCGTCTCTTTTCGAGGCCCGTGTTTTGTGGTTTCAAAATGTCCCATTTGGCCATTCGAAACTCCCCCAAGTGATGGGTCTGTCGAATGTACAACAAACCCCACATCAACCCGCAATCAAATTACGGTTAAAGATTGGCAAGTGGCAAGGGACACTTTCTTCTGATTCTTTGGGTTTTCGCACATGAGTCGATTGCCACAGGGTGGGTTGGCTTTGGGGGCCCAAAGGCGGCGGGGGCGGGGGGGGCTTGCTTGAAAGGGAGTCCTGGGAGTCCCAGACTGGGCCATGGAAACGTGAGACGCATTGCCGAGGACAGGGACCAAGGCGAGCAGACTCTCCTGCAAGTCGCCGCTCGAACGGAACTGAACATGCGAAGGCAGTGGGGTTTCTCGGGTTTTGGGTGCAAGCGCGTGGTTCCTTTGGGTAGATGTGGGTTGGAGTTGTGCCATCTGCTGTTACCCAATGTTGCAAAAGGGGCTCCTCGAGAGGAGATTCTTTGCCATTTGTTTTGGGGTTCCGCATTGAGAAGGAACAGATTGGAGGGCAGAATTGGTAAGGCTTTGGGCAGGGAAATTGTGGGATGACTCCTGGAGGATGCCTTTGCTCCACGCATGTTGCATGTGTTTTTCCCCCCATCGGCTGAGTTGTCGCTAGGCACACGTTTCACGGACTGCGGAAATGGCCGTCTTTTGAGCTTGCGGAAATAAAAGCAAGCGACATAGTTGTTGTTTCC